CGCGCTACGGCTGGCGCACCGCGCTGATCGGATGGCAGCACTTGGGCCATCCTCCACTACACTCCCTGGCCACAGCAGACAGCTGGCCTGGAAGAGGGGCAACCGGGACAGAATCCAGCACCCCGACCGGGACTAGAACCCGGTGTGCCGGCACCGCAAGGCGGAGGATTAGCCTAGTGAGCCACGGCGCCAGCCCACAAATACATCTTAAAAAAAAAAAAAAAAACTCAAATAGTAGTGTGCAGCTCACACAACTGATGTTGAAGATTAAATGAGGGTATGCATATAAGATTATTCAGCCCCTGGGATGTAATAAGCACTCAATAATGCCACCTATGTTTTAAGCACTAGATATACTGCTTTTTACTTTTTACAAAGTAATGAGATAAAATGTTTTTTTAAATTCTCCTAGACACATAAAATTTACTTGCTTTTTATTTCACTAGCATGACTGAATTTCTGTTAATGCATTTATGACATAACACATAAAAGTTGTTCCTGAGTTGGTCTCCAACCTCAAGACTTACCAAAAGCTTCTTGACCACAAAATCTGTAGTAAGTCCCCTGGGAACCTGACCCTTGGGAGCCAACACATAATACAGGATTAAGCTATACCCTTGGATTGTGCTGGAATCAGGCTCAATCCAATCAGTACCATGACCTGATTTCATACTAACTTTCACACAGCTCTACTGAGCTGTCTCTAACAACTGGTAGCAATGCACAAACTATTAAGCTTATTTGGGTAAACAGTGGAATCCATAGTGTTCAACACAGAGCCAGCAGGTACTCAGTAAATTTATTTGAATAAATGCATGCACTCTCTGCACTTTCACTTCACATCTATGCTGATCTCTCCATACTTCCTTCTACTCAACGAAGCGCATGGGCACCAGGCAGGGATATTTTTAGCATAAAATATTCTCCATAGCTCTTTCAAAGTATTCAGCTGAAATGTTTAATCTGGCAATCTAAAGTGATGACCATAAAACACAAATGGCTTAAGAAACCAATGTGCACGCAGATATATTTCTTCAATTATACACTGATAAACTAAAATGATTTTGCCATGTAGGGAATCAGCAGACTGACCCAGTTACTATATTTAAATGTGAACATGTCCACCCAGACAACTCAAGACAATATGAATTAGCACTTAAGGTACTTGTATGTTTTCAAACTGTCCTTTAAGGACCTGTGATTTAATGGGCCTTTCAAAACTGAAATATATCCCACTGAGATGTAAAACAGAAAATAGATTTAAACTAGAAAAAATAAAACAAAGCTAGTTTTGTTTTACAGGCACAGAAAGGTGCTAGAATTATTTACTGCTTTCTGGACTTTGCATTATGACCAAATTGATATTTTCCAGGTTTTTCATTAACTTAAAATGTTCTGAGATGAACACATCATTTGCTATGATTAAATCCAAGGCGCTTCTGTAGCTTCCTTCTGGGAAGATAAAAATTACACCAAGAGGTAAAAGTTCTCTAATCAACCCAATCGTTGAAGTAGCACGAGGGAAAATGCACAGAATTCACCCAGCAACCAAACGAGATTCTAACAGTTAACAAGCAGAGGCCCTACAAGCAGAATCACATGGCAAAATTTTCTAGTCTAGAACTCTTACCTTCAGAATCAGAATTTGTCGTACTTTATCTTTAAAATTCCCATAGATCTATAAAATTGTAGAATTTAGAGTTGATGAGCCCCAACTCTCATCCCTATAACATCACATCTCCATAGAAGAACTCTTCAAGTATGAAGCTTCTGTCATCTCTTCTGGAATAGTTCCAAGTAAGTTCAAGTTCCGGAAATACAGCTCTCAATAGGATTTCACTAGAATTCACTAGGATTTCAACTTCCTTCTCTACCAGAATTAGCCATATTGAATTAGTTGTTAATATTCTTTCAGAATAGTACAAGATTGTAAGGATGAATAGCATAAGCCATTCATCCTCTTTCACTACATTCAATTCCTTACTTTCAGAGACACAGACATCTCTAGATAGGACTCTATTGGGTTTATAGAGTGTGTTGGATAGGCAAATTGAAGATGCCATAAAACTAGAACTCACATGCCACCAATTTTAGATGCCAAATTTGTCACCCATCACAGCATCACTTAAATTATCTGGAAGAGGTACTAAAAAATATTTAATATAGGAGTTCGCACAGAAATTTGTTTGAAAACCTCTTCCTTCATCCTATCTGATTTCGCAGCCCAATTTCAAATGCTCACTTGTTGATCTTTCCAAGCTTGAATCACAAGTAGAGGTAGCAGACATCCCTACTGACCCCTCGTACCTTACAGTCACCAGGACAAAGCAGACCTTTGCAAAGCCTGCCCATATGGGACACAACTGTGACCCTCCAAGACATTAGTCAGCTAGTGACGAGGGTTCACTAACATTAGTTGGTCTGTGCACACAGATAAAACCTCTTATGATTTTAATTTTAAAATATCAATATAAGACATAATAGTGAGACATTTCAGAGGAAAGCAGTGTATTGAAAATCATTTCATCTTATAACATACCTCACCAAGAATTCCCACTGTACAAATGGGCAATTCTACTTGTTAAACAGTTGTTAAAAATTGAGCTGAAATTACCTTCCCTGGGACTTTGAGCTTCTGCCCCTAATTGTTCTCTCTGGAACGAATCATAGCACCTTTTCATATAAGGAACTGTATTTCTAAGAAAAATTTATTTCCATACTGGGCAACAGTGGCTGCTTCATTCAAATAAAAGATTGAAATTTCAAATTGAAGCATTTGATGATCAACCAACCAATCAAAAAACACAGAGTAACTATCAAATGGCATGCATTGCATTCAACACGAGGATAACCAGCAGTAATTAATCAAATTATTAGGGATTGTTTTTCCACTGGCTTTATTTCTGTTTTGTAACACCACTTCTAAAGAGAAGATGAATGAAAAACTAAACTTAATTCAGGAGAAAAAAAGAAAAAGACAAAACAATGTAGTTTGTCCTGATAATAAATGTAACATGCAGGAAAAATGGGCATGGGGAAAAGGCAGGAAGTCATATTCGTTAGGTTCTTAGTAACTCCAGGTGCTTTCTATTTATTTCACTTAATTCCTATCAGAAATCTGTGAGGTGGGTTTTACTCCCAATTTACCAAAAAGGAAACAGAGGTTTTCAGAGGTTATGTAAATTGCCAGTGATGATACACTCTCTATGTCATGAAAGAGCCAAGATCCACACCCAGACAGAATCTCAAAGTATATGCTTCTCTAACCGTGTAATCCTCAGTCTCTGCAAGAAACCATGGTGAGAGCAAATACCACTTACCATGGGATTTGCCCTTGCAGATGAATGGCTACCACTATCCCCTCTTCACTAAGTGATTTATACAGAGATCAACCAAAGAGCCCATTTCTTATTGAGCTTTAGAACATTTTCAAGTCACTAGCTTGCAATGTAATAATGATGTAGAATTTGCAATACCATGAATCTTTTTATTTGATGTTTCCAAATTGGCATGTCACCAAATGCCCACATAAAGGTAAGAGTCAAAAATTCAGTGAGAACATACCATCAAACAGAACTTTTGGGAGAGAAGAATTACATGTCCACGTACTTTCCAGGATATTTTAACCCATAAAAATCAAGGGGCATAGGGGATAGGTGAAAGCAAATTTTTGGAGCAAGTTTCCTCTGCATATCCACTACAGATGCTGAGACTGTAATTACAGAACTACAGCTAAGGGTGTCCTGCTTGGTCTCATCTGGGACATTCAATTTAAACCTGCCCAGGATTCTGCCTAACATTTCTGCTCCTTTCCTGAATGGCTGCCTCTCAGCAGGAGATGGCTTAGGTCAGACCACTCCCCAGACCCATTTTCCCGTCATCATATCCATTTCTGCCACATTCTAAAAACAACCACAGTGCCAGTGTGTTCAGGCCTCTCCTCACATTTCCCAGTGATAGGAGACAGATCCAGCTCCATTAGTAGGCCAGGCACTTGAGTTTTAACATAAAAGAAGGGATGACAAAGAACTATGGTTTTCCTCAGCACGCCATGCCATCTGTGACATTGGCCATGCACACCCACACATTCCTGTTGGAGGGCAAGGTTGCTCACCATTGTTCTGACTCCAAAATTATTTCCGATACGGGTGCCTGCAATTAACCTCATTTGTTGACTTTGCACGTGGGAGGTGTGGGGAAAGGCCCACACTGCCCGCTCTTTCCTGCATCCTCTCTAGCCAGCAAGCAGCCAAGATGCTTGCAAATGCTTATTTTCAATTTCCTACCTGGTAGAGAACTGTGAAAGGGCCTTTTGTGTTAGAATCTCTTCTAAAGTCTTCCAGTGTTCAATATGAAATCAAAGCGAAGGAGTTCAACTTGCAGATCTTCGCATTCAACTCTAGCACATCTGTCTCATTTTATCTCAGCTCTTAGGAGTCACGACAGGAAGTGACGTAAGCAGAACCAAGACGGACCACATAAGAGCGCTCAGTAGGACACACAGCCCTGTACCCTTGCAGATTCTGGCTTACAGTGGTCCCGGAAGCATGCTATGAATTAGTACACCCCCTCTCCACCGGTCGAGGCCACCACGGCCAGCCCTCTTCCCCCTGTAATTGCTGCTCTGAGAGGCCCTGTGGGGAACAGTCATTCCCACAGTCTGTGCATTCTCACTCCTGGCCTCAGTCATAACTTGCTGCCACCAAAGTCCCAATTCCTTTCTCACCCACACAACAGCTGGCTCAGACTGATACAGTACACAGAAATGGTATATGCCGGCTTTCGTAACGGGAGTCCTCGGCATGTGCTTCCTTCCTCTGTCGTTATCCATGGCTTAAGCACAGAAGAGGCGAATGTAGCACCGTAAACAGGAAATTATCTTAATCAACTATATCGTACCATTTACATAGCATTTCGCATGTATTAATCAGAACACTCTGCTGTAACAGAAACCAACCCAACCTAATCAGAGTATGTGGACGCCTGGGTACCTCACTTACCTAGGGGCAGAACGCACAGGGGCAGCAAGAACGAGGACTCAGGCGACGCCCACTTCCGGCATCACGCGCTTCCAGGGTCACGTCTCGCGTGACTTCGCGAGAAGTTTGGGCGGGCGGACCCGCGAGGTAGTGGCCGCTGGGAAGCCGGGGGCGTGGCCAGCTCGAAGGGCCTGGAGGCCACAGCAAGCCTCGCGGAGGCTGCGAGGGTACAAGCTGCTGTCCCAGCGGCCGGCCGTACAGCCGGGACAGACTGCTGGGCAGTCGTGGAGGCGTTGGAGGCTGCTCCATCCCGTGGAGCTCCGGGAGCACCTCTGAGTGAGGTGCAGAATCTGAGAGGGCGCCGGAGCGGGCGCTGAACGCTGGGAAGGAAAACGAAGCAGCTATCCTTGCAAAGACCCGCAGCCCCCCTGGAATATAAGGAGGAATTAGCCTCCTTTAACTGCGGCCACCGTGCGGGCTGCACTTGTTTGCCGAAGTAGTAGTCCAGGTGAAGTCGTGTCCTGGGTACGGACCTGGTGACCACTTGAGGGAGGATAACTGCAGCATGAGACTGAGATGCGAGTGTGTGCTTCAAGAGTGTGACCTGAACCAAGTCTTGGCAGGGTTTGCCTTTCACTAGGCCATCAAGAAGGGCAGAGCGAAGTCACAGCTGTCCACAGGCCAACAGCATGTAATCTGGGGCTGTTGTTCCTGCAGTACTGTTAGGAGGTTGCGGCCGGCGCCGCGGCTCAATAGGCTAATCCTCCGCCTTGTGGCGCCAGCACACCGGGTTCTAGTCCCGGTCGGGGCGCCGGGTTCTGTCCCGGTTGCCCCTCTTCCAGGCCAGCTCTCTGCTGTGGCCCGGGAGTGCAGTGGAGGATGGCCCAAGTGCTTGGGCCCTGCACTCCATGGGAGACCAGGAAAAGCACCTGGCTCCTGGCTCCTGCCATCGGATCAGCGCGGTGTGCCGGCCGCAGCGGCCATTGGAGGGTGAACCAACAGCAAAAGGAAGACCTTTGTCTCTGTCTCTCTCTCTCACCGTACACTCTGCCTGTCAAAAAAATAAAAAATAATAAAGAAAAGGAAGTTGTTCGATTGTTCCCCAACTTCAGGCACCGACACTGTGATCGCAGACAGTTGTTGAATGCACTGGGGCAGAATCCTTATCAGTTTGAGGTGCTGCTAACGCCCAGTCTCTACAGGGACCATGACTGACTGACTGCTGGCATGGCCCCGGGTGAGAGCTGAGTGGACCCACAGCCCAGAGGTGGGCACAGCCAACTCCACTGCCACCCCAGCAGGATCACGGATGCAGTGAAAGTGATCCACGATGACAAGGTGCAAACTGCAGACGTGAGTGAGCACCAGAGACGTCATCAACTCTGCGGCTGGCCATGTGCACCCCCCAGGAGGTTTACAGCTCTTTATTCCTTCCAGGACTGCACTAGCTACACAGCACTTTAGTGCCATGGACCCGGGAAAAGACCTTGACCCTCTAGATAATGGACCGTAATCTTTTCTGGGCAGACCTAGCTTCCCGTGAGGCTGGCTTCCTTAGGGAACTGCATGTGGAGTCCTGGGGGATCGTTAGGAGTGAGGCCCAAGGCCACAGAATAATGACAGTTCTCCCTCACAAGTGAACCTCTGACGTGGGTGGCAACTTGCCAGAGCTTCACAGAGGCTGCCATTGTTGGTCTGTCCCAGCCAGAGGTCCAACTCACATCCATACAAGGTGTTTGATAAAATCTGTGTATCGATTTTAAAAACAGTGATGAATTTGAAGGATGTAGTCTGGGAAAACGCCCAAAATCCCCTTTTCCTTTTGTCATTATTTTAATCTCTTGAACTGCAGAGCTGTATCTCTCTAATTCACTTGCGTGGTAGAAAAAAAATAAAAGTCACCAAACAAAAATGAGTTTGCACCAGCGCCATGGCTCACTTGGCTAATCCTCCACCTGCGGCGCCGGCATCCCATATGGGCGCCGGGTTCTAGTCCCAGCTGCTCCTCTTCCAGTCCAGCTCTCTGCTGTGGCCCGGGAGTGCAGTGGAGGATGGCCCTAGTGCTTGGGCCCCTGCACTCACATGGGAGACCAGGAAGAAGCACCTGGCTCCTGGCTTTGGATTGGCGCAGCGCCGGCTGTAGCAGCCATTTGGGGAGTGAACCAACGGAAGGAGGACCTTTTTCTCTGTCTCTCTCTCTCACTGTCTATAACTCTACCTGTCAAATAAATTTTTAAAAAATGAAGATCCTTAGTTATTATTTGAATTTTTTGTTTTTTTGTGACAGGCAGAGTGGACAGTGAGAGAGACAGAGAGAAAGGTCTTTCTTTTCTGTTGGTTCACTCCCCAATGGCCACTGCGGCCGGCGCGCTGTGGCCGGCGCGCTGTGGCCGGCGCACTGCGCTTATCCAAAGCCAGGAGCTTGGTGCTTCACCTGGTTTCCCATGCTGATGCAGGGCCCAAGCACGTGGGCCATCCTCCACTGCACTCCCGGGCCACAGCAGAGAGCTGGACTGGAAGAGGAGCAACCGGGACTAGAGCCTGATGTGCTGGCACCGCAGACAGAGGATTAGCCTACTGAGCCACAGTGCCAGCCCTTTTTCTCTGTTTAAAATAACAACCAGATGAAATGAATTTCTCAGTCCTAATTCCAAGTGTTCACAGGGCCCCCTTAGTTGGGTTCCCAGCCCTGGTTCAGTCCCTTAGTGTAGGGAGACCAACTGGTTTGCAGAAGCTTAGCCATTATAACCATGGAAATGAGAGTGAGCTAGGTGGCAGAGTGGACAGTTACCCAAAAGTTAGAGTTCAAGGGAGGCAGTCCAACCAGTGCTGATACATGTATTATTTACTTGAAGGTCTGCCACAGTCAGTAACGTTTCCATTAACAGTAGTACTTTCATTTTGCAGATAGACTGAATTTAAGAGAGATTATACAGATAATAAACATAAAACCAAAAGTGGATTCGAGTTCTCAGTCCCTTCATTGGCCCTATGAGCCCTACTTTAAGCACAAAGGAGCAAAAAGTAAGGCAACAAAAACCAAAAGACAAAACACACAGCACCCACCTCCTAAATCCAGATTTTAGATTTAATTGGAAATACAAGACAGACTCTCAAGAAAATAGCTTAATAACATCTTGAGAGCAATAAATGCTGCAAGCTATTGAAGGGAGAAAATAGGATCAAGGTAAAGTTAATCAGAGAGGCCAACTTTGGATTCTTGGTTAGAATAAACTTAAGGAGTTTGAAGAGGACATTTCAGATATTTTTTAAAAATGAAAGAAGTTAAGCCGGCGCCGCGGCTCACTAGGCTAATCCTCCGCCTGCGGCGCCGGCACACCGGGTTCTAGTCCCGGTTGCCCCTCTTCCAGGCCAGCCCTCTGCTGTGGCCAGGGAGTGCAGTGGAGGATGGCCCAGGTGCTTGGGCCCTGCACCCCATGGGAGACCAGGAAAAGCACCTGGCTCCTGGCTCCTGTCATCGGATCAGCGCGGTGCGCCGGCCGCAGCGCCCCAGCCGCGGCGGCCATTGGAGGGTGAACCAACGGCAAAGGAAGACCTTTCTCTCTGTCTCTCTCCCTCACTGTCCACTCTGCCTGTCAAAAAAAAAAAAAAAGAAAAAGAAAGAAGTCACACATTCACATATTAACATGAATACTGCAAACCTGACTCACTGAGCTGCCTAATATTTGCAGGAAAGCAAGATTTGTACTTTCAAGGAAATAAGAGAGGATGAAAGTGGAACCACAGGAGTTCCACACTTCCAGATTCCCAAACAAGCACCAAGCCCAGCTCCTAAGCATACTATTTCCCTCCTCAAAGATAGCCAGTTCTTTAATTATTCTGTTTCTAAAGCAGATCACCACAAAAGTGCTATTTTAATTTCAATAGAATTGAAGCAGAAATCCGCTCAGATTATGTTCTAAATAGGATTCCTTTTGTTTTCCCATCACTGCTTTTAAAACTAAGAATTAATTCTCCATGAATATTGGTGACCGATTTCTAATGTCATTTCAGTGCCCAGATGTGATGAGTGTTATCCATATCTGAACAATCGTAGTGCCTAGTTATAGTAGAGCTCACCTGAATATGTATCAGCAGTTTGATCTGTGAGGGCATCACATACTATGGTCACAGAGACTCAACCGAATCACCAAAGATGGAAGTCAGGGACTCTGGCTCTAGATTCAAGCTTGCCACAGCTCATCAAGTGACTTAACCTTCTGAGTTTTCCTTACTCAATTATCGATAAGTACCTTTGAGTCACAACTATGAGCCTGGCTCTATTGTAAGCTCAGGCGGTACAGTAGACACAAAGCAGAAAAATGTCATGTCCACATGGAATTTACATACTACTGACAGAAAATTAAGAATATGAAAAGTAAACTATACAAAAGTTAGAGGATGGGGGGCCAGCATTGTGATGCGGTGAGTTAAGCCGCTGCTTACAGTGCTGGCCTCCCACATCAGAATGCATCTGGGAAGGCAGTGGATGATGGCCCAAGCACCTGGTTCCCTGTCATCCATGTGGGAGATCAGGATGGAGTTCTTGGTTCCTGATGTTGGCGTGGCCCAGACCTGACTGTTGCTGGCATCTGGGAAGTGAACCAGCAGGTAGAAGATATCTCTCTGTGTATCTCTCTTTTTCTCTGCCTCCCCCGCACCCCACCTTCAAATAAATTTAAAGCTTTAAAAAAAGGGTGTAGGCTCTCCATGCCACCTGTTTGCCTGGAACAATCTTGGACAGTGTGTCGCAGTGCTAATCCTAATCCTAATCCTCTCTTGTGACTTTTCAGAATGCTCCAGTCTGAATGATGAATTAGCATCCTGTCTAAGAAATTGTCCTGCTGCAATAGTCTAGATGGGAAATGAAAGTCAACAGCGATGAGTACCAGTGGTCTTATTTGACAGTGGAGCTCACCAGATTTGATGGATGAAACGTGGGCCACGAGGGAAAGAAGAGTCAAGGTTGACTCTGATATGTTTGGGCCTGAGCCAGTGTGAGGACAGAGTTGTCACTGAGGAAAACAGGGCAAGTTTTGCATGGGAAGGCCCATTTGGGGCAT